TTATTGGAGAAAAGAGTTTCTCAGATTTGTCTACCTGGGATGGCTTTGAATCTTGAACCTTAGATCTTAGCCCAGCTTCAAGTAATATTATTTTGTTAAGTTTAGATTTAAGTTGAGAGGAAGCAACATACCAATAGTCCTGACACCAGGCCCATTTCCAATAGAAAACATTGGACATACTGATTCTGCTCTAGGTTTACATATTTGGTGGCTTAGGTGTGCCACTGAACCATGGACTGGAACATGTGTATATTTAGATGATCTTCTGCTAAGATGGGAACCCAGAAAATAATCACTGCCATATTCATTTGAGTTGCTAATTTGAAAATTTTCATGTTTCATTTGAAAATCCTCATGTTGGTATGAAATGGATAAAAATGGAAACTTTTAGGATACTTGATGATTTTAGGATCTGAAATTGCAATTAATCCTGAGATTCCATTTGCATGGCTGCCTAGCAGCTTTCTTTACAGAGCATGGATCTTGTTCTTCCTACAATTATATATTTACTGTCTTTAAGCAACTGTACACAGATGTTGCCTTCAACAAATCAGTTACCCTTCAACAAAACATCTTGATGGCTGTCACTCATTTCATCATTCTCCCCCACGGCTCCCAGCCCAACTCCTCCCTGTACTATATTATAGGATAAACATCAACTATCATAACTACATTCTTCCTGCATCATCCTCTCTTTCTTCAACACTCTCTCTCTCTCTCTCTTTACCCTCCCTTTCAACTTTCAAGCACCACTTTTCTGATATTCATTTTGTTGGACTGTGAATTAATTTTGCTAAATTCTCTTTTACTTGACTTGATTGTGTACCTTTGTATATGGTGGCATATAAACTCGTGTTTATTTTTACAGTTATAAATTAGTTTGCACTCTCACATACATGAGGAAACAGGTGTCCTTTGTCTCTTCTGAACCTGATAATACAGCAGTTATAAATGCATCGCTCTGTAGGGTACATCATTATTTGAAGAGATTATACCAATAACTTAAATCTAGTATATGAATAATCACTCTCATTTATTTCTAAGGGGTATATTGATGAAATAAATGGAAGTTAAACTTTAAAAAAGATTATTTGGCTGGAGTCTGTGTATATGTACAAATTGTAAGCTCCTGAAATTATTTTGAAAAACACAGCATATAAAGCACACTTAAAGAAAATGTAATAGTCAACAGGATAAATATGCAAGTTGTGCATCAGCTAATTCAGTATCAACCAAGTCATAGGTTTCCTGGGAACATGGAACATTCTGAGGCTAGCACATAATACATCCTAAGAAGTATCAATCATCTTTGAAGACATGAGAAATCACAAATAGAGCTCAGAAAACATTTTCCCAGCAATTTTTTCATTATTATGAAATTTGGTTAACCAATCAGTTACATAAAGCGAAACACACAATTCATATTTTGAGGTCAGTATTGCTCTAACTTATAGTGTTCATATGAGTAATCTCTCTCTGGATATTTCTAAAAGGCCTTTAGCTAAAATTCAAAAAGATTAAAACAAAGATCTCATTTGGTCTGACCAATATATGTAAGTGTGCTTGAGTGTAGGATTGATTTTATTATTCTGCAGAAGTAGCACATAAAACACAAGAATCAAAAGTACTATAGATCATCAGGAGAGGACCAACAATTAAAACAGTTGTCAAAGTCCAAGCTTATATAATCTCAACAACATTGTACGAAAGCTGGCAACACAGAATCCAGTGACTTCTCTGTGGCAAGCAAAGAGTAAATCCTCCAAAAATTTCAATCACCATTTTCAAGTCCATGTTTGGTAATAGGCCTCAAGGGCATATTGGTCAACTGAAATGTAGGCAGTCAGCACTTCATTGCTCTGTTTGTTCTGGTTCAAATAACAGAAGTCAGTATTCTCACTGACACATGTTAAAATGATTTATGATCTGGGTGCAGGTGGCTCAGCCTTATAATCTTAACTACTCAGGAAGGTGAGATCTAGTTTAAAGCTTGCCCTGGTAGGAAAGCTTGTGAAACTCTTATCTCCAAATAACTACCAAAAATACAACTGTGGTTTAAGTGGTAGAATATTAACCTTGAGCACAAATGCTCAGGGACTGTGGCCAGGCCCTGAATTTTTGTTGCCTAACACTGAAAAAAAAAGGTTTCTGATGTCACTGTTTGCTTACTTCATCCATGATGTCATAAGCGCCCACGGTTGTCTTCCTTTGTGATGATGTTACTGACATGGTCCTGCTATTACAAAGGAGACTTGGAGAAGGACTGAAAAGAAAGTGTCACCATGTATGACTCATTGATTTTTCTCCCAGGGCTGGCCTTTCATCCTTGTTCTCAGATCTCAGCCTCCTGAGTAATATCACTAGCATCATCTTCTTTTTTCCCCCTTTTTCTTCTTTTCAAATCCCCAATATGCTCCCTCAAGATGGAAGAAATGCCTGTATCCTACTATTATGCTAAGAGTGACTACTAAACAGGTGAAAAATTTTATTAAATTTAATAAAATTACTTATTAAACATTTATATTACCATCCTAATTATTTACTTTCATAATATTTTTAATTTAATTTTATTTTATTTGTGAACATACTGTACAGAGGGGTTACAATTACATGGGCAGGATAATGCGTACATTTCTTACCAAGCATTGCAGCCTCCTCCTTTGGTTTACCCTTCACCTCCCTTCCCAGCCTCCCCGCTCCCCCCCAATCCCAATCCTTCTCCTTCCCCCCCTTTCCCCTCCCCCACCGACGTTATAAAGCTCATTTTGGACATGACAACTTGTACTTCTATTTTTTAAGAGGCACAAACATAATCATAGCTGTTTAATACCATTTGTTATCATAAGCTGTTTATCAGAAAATGTGTGAGGGTTAGTGACAGTTGTGATGCGGGAATATGGGATGGGAATTTTGTAAAATGTCTTACTAAGCAGGTTCAGTGCTAACAAGAAATCATAAGAGATGGACACTTAAAGTTTTTCATGTAGGAAATGGTTTCTGCTGTTTAGATAGTGAATGAAAGGACTGGAGGTTAGAAATCTAGACTAACCTCAATACTTAAGTATTGGACTAGGTACCATATTGATACACATTTAAAACAATTTTTGTATGATCATATATATAGTAAATATTGTGGATTAAACAAGGAGTAATAAATTGTGGAATAAAATCATTAAGTCTTTGTTACAGCAAGATTACATTAAGTAGCTTAGCAACAAAAGCATTGAACTGCGAAACAGGTAAGGTCAAATTTGTATTTTACTTCCAGCTGATATTCCATATAAACTTCTCCAAATAAAAATATCTTGCATAAGATTAAATAGCATTAAGTTTTTTGCTTTTTTAAAGTTTTTTTTCTGTTTTCTTTTGTCGGTCTTGGGTGCTGAACTCTAGGCCTGAGGGCTGTCCCTCAACTCTTCAGCTCAAGTCTAGTGCCCTACCACTTGAGCCACAACTCCACTTCTGGCTTTTTCTGCTTATGTGGTACTGAGGAATCGACCCCAAGGCCTCATGCATGTAAGGCAAGCACTCTACCATGGAGCCACCTTCCCAGCCCCTAGCATTAAGATTTTAAATGTATACACAAATATGAATAATTCATATGGTAGCAAGATTTAATTTCACATGATCAAAATCAGAAATAATATCTGTCAGTAATCATTCAATGAAAATACCACTGCTGAAAAAGAGCAATGAACACCTTCATACAGGTTCAGAATATTCAATTTGCTTGCCGCTTCATATTCTACATCCATATCTTCTATATCACAAACATATATTATGTGCCATTTTCATACTTAATTTAATTAACATATAATCACTGTCTCTACAACATTGCATTCAGGTTTTAATACATACAAACATAGAGGAATGATTGAATTAAATCTATCACATCTTTCATTTACATATGTTCAAAATCTTATTCTTATTAATGAGACATATATTATTTCTCACATATTATGCATTACTTTGACTATGTTCATCCTACTGTGCCATACAATATCAGAACTAATCTTCCTATCTACATGTGATATTGTACATTGACTTCCTCTTCTGTCCCATATAACCCTACTCTCATCTGACTTTGGTGACCTCTATTCTATTATCAATTGTATGAGATCAGCTTATTTTATATTTCACATACAAGCAATTTCTTGCACTGCTTGTGTATGTGTGTGTCTAATTTATTTTAACATAATTTTCTTCAAATGCAAATGCAAGATTTTTATCATTTCTAATGACATAATAGCATTCCAGGTAATAGAATCTCCAATATCCCTTATGCATTCTTCTATTAATGCACCTTTAAGTTGGCTTTACCTACTAGCCACTGCAGCATGTGAGAACACATAGTGTCTACTGTAAGGACGATGTTTACTATATCAGACTTTAGAAATTACCATCCTTTTGCAAATACCCTTTCTAACTGTGGAGAAAGTGTAATCTTTTAATATCATTTATTGTGTGGGTACGGGTGTGTGATTGTTAAATCATTTTATGGCTTTGCTATTCCTTGTTGTTCCAATACTTCAGATAATTAATATATATGGACATGGAACATATATATATAACTAGCTAAAATTAATTGTGCTCTAAATATGCTATACTTAAATTGAACACAAAATGAAAGGCAAATCTGTAAGCACAGACCTGCTAATTTCGTATCAATTATGTAGAAGAATTTCAGTATTAAAAATAAATATTAACATATACAATAATATTTATTATATGTAACTTTGTAATATTCTGTTTCCATATCATAAATCAAAATGCTGTAAGTAGTATTAGTGGTTTTAAAGTTCTGAATTAATAATTTAAATGTTATTACTTTTATTCAATTATTACTTAGTAAGTCATTATATTACTTATTTGTACCTTTAAGTATGTCATTAGGAAAAAACTGGTTACATATGTGGCCTTAATAACTTTTCTTTGGATAGTGTGCTCTGTTTAGATCAGGTAAGTTCTAAGAGGATAAAAGAATAATAGGCACAGAACCCTCAATTTTTCATGCAACGGAACATCCCAAGAACCCTTTTCATTGCCCCCAGGACTTCCTTATTCCTCAGGCTGTAGATAATGGGGTTGAGCATAGGGGTGAGGATGGTGTAGAACACAGCCAGAATCTTATCTCCCAAAGGGGATCGGAGATTCTTGGGCCGAAGGTAAGTGTAGACAAAAGGGGCATAGTAAAAGGTCACCACAGTTAAATGCGTTGAACATGTAGTGAAGGCTTTCTTTCTTCCCTCTTTTGAGCACATACGAGAGACAGCAAAAAGGACCTGACCATAGGAAGCTGTGATCCCGAGGAAAGGAAAGAGGAGAAACAGGCTTGTGCTCACAAACACCATGTATTCGTAGACCCAGGTGTCCACACAGGCCAGAGGCAACATGGCTGGGATATCACAGAAGAAATGCTTAATGGCCCTAGATCTGCAGTAAGGAATATGAAGAGCATAGACTGTGTGTGCCAAGGAGTTAACGGAGCCCAGTATCCAAGACCCTATGATCATTTTGACACACATCATTTTACTCATGCGGATGGGGTAATGGAGCGGGTGGCAGATGGCCACATAGCGGTCATAGGCCATGGAGGCCAGCAGTAAGCCTTCAGAACCTGCTAAGGTCACAAAGAAGAAGATTTGCACTCCACATCCCACAAACGATATTCTTTTCTCACTACAGAGAAAGTTGAACGCCATCTTGGGAACAATGTTTGATATGTACATGAGGTCCATGAGGGAAAGCTGGCTGAGGAGAAAGTACATGGGGATGTGGAGCCGGTTATCATTACGGATAAGGCAAATCATTGTCAAGTTCCCCAAAACAGCTACAAAGAACACGAAGAGGAAAAGGATCATGAGAAGGAGGCCAGTTTGGTTTCCGGGCAACAGCCCTAAAAGGATGAAATCGCTGGATGTTTGATTCCATTTCTCCATGAAAACATTTGTCGTGCAGCGCCCTTAAACATTAAAGCATGAAATCAGAATAGAATAGAGTAAGAAAGTCAAAGAGAAATCTTTCAATATTTAATGTGAATGACTTACGTTGTAGTTTTATTGGTTTTATTTTTTGGGGGGGCCTGAACTCTGGGTCTGGGCAATGTCCCTCATCTCTTCAGCTCAAGGCTAGTGCTCTACCACTTGAGCCACAGTCCCACTTCCGGCTTTTTTTCTGCTTATGTGGTGCTGAGGAATCGAACCCAGGGCCTCATGCATGCAAGGCAAGCGCTCTACCACTGAGCCACCTTCCCAGCCCTTATTGGGTTATTTTTAATTTGTGAAAACTAATGTTCCTTACCTCTTATCTCAAGTACTATTTCTGTAAGTCAGAGAGATGAGCCATAATTAGCAAGGATCAATAAATAGCCAAAGCATCCATTCTTTAGAACTTCTGACCAATCCCATGATTATAGGTTATTATGAATTTATAAATTAAATAAAACCAAGATAACTTTATTTTTATTGTCTCCAACTGAATCCTCAGATTTGCAATAACAAATCAGAAGTCTGATTTGGTAACAAATATTGTGTTGTTCAGATAAAATATACTTAGAACTCAAAAAACTAAATCCCGCAACAAATCCTCAAAGAAACAATCACCCCATCAACAAGTGGGATAAAGTCTTAAAGAGAAACTTCTCTGAAGAGGACATAAGAATGCCCAATAGACACATGAAGAAATGCTGAACTTCTCTAGCCATAAAAGAATTACAAATCAAAACAACATTGAGATTCCACCTCACCCCAGTTAGAATGGCTATAATCAAGAACTAATAACAACAGATGCTGGAGGTGACGTGGCCAAAAAGGAACCCTACTGCATTGTTGGTGGGATTGTAAACTTGTTCAACCACTTAGGAGAGCAGTATGGAGTCTCAAAAGACTCCACATAGAGCTCCGCTGTGACCCAGAATCCCACTTTTGGGCATTTACCCAAATGATCAAAAACAAGGGTATACTAAAGCTAGCAGCGCAACTATATTTATTGCAGCATTATTTGCCATAGCTAAGACATGGAACTAACCCAGATGAGCCTCAGTAGATGAACGGATCAAGAATATGTATATGTATATATATATATATATATATATATGAATTCTATGTCTCCATCAAAAAAGAATGACACTGCCCCAGTTAGGAAATGGAAAGACCTGGAAAAAATTATATTGAGATTAGCTAGGACCAAAGAAACATAAGTCCCATGGTTTCCCTTATTTGCAATAACTAGTATAAGTCCAGGACAAGCAGAAAAGCTCAAAAGCTATGCACATATGACCATATAAGATGACGTTAAGTGAAATGAACCCCAGGATAGGGACACAATTTTTTTTCTTGCTATTTTTAACATATTTAAAATGTACTATGTGATTTTTTTTGCTTCTTTTGTATGTACTTCCCCCACAGTATAACCCCTGTTTTCATTGTATTTGCTGTTGGTATCATGCATCTTGTATTACATTTTTCTAATTTGAGGAGGGGAAGGGAAATAACAAAATTCTGAAATAAGACTACATGTTTACCCATTGTAACAATGAGATGTACAATACACTGTTGAAAATGAACTTTACAACTTGAGGGGGAGGGCAGAGGGAGGAGTTAGGGAGGTGGGAAGGGAAGGGATGGTAGGGGATAAACAAAGGGAGGAGTTAACAAAGCTCAATAGGAAATGTACTATTTACCTTACTCATGTAACTGTAACCCTTCTGTACACTATTTATACAATAGAAAATATTAAAAAAGAAATACATAAATAAAATTTGCCTCTATTTTTCACTCTTCTAGGTCCTCATTTTGGTTCTACCTCATCTGAAACTGCTTTATACAGATAAACTTGATCCTTAACCTGATGGTCTATCTCTTGTATGCTTTTATGTAATTTGTATCTTTGCTGAAAATATATCTACCATCCCAAATCACTGTCCTGGAAATGAAAAGGCATCATTAGTTGGATAAAGCCATTCTCCTCATAATTATATATGTATTTATGATTTCCCTGTGATTTTTTACTTTCCTGAAATCCTTACACACTCAAAATCTGATTCTTAAATTGTCAACCCATTTTTCTGCCATCAAGTAATGCGCATATGATAATGGTTATGATAAAATGATGTTTTTCTTCTACTTTACACATCTTTGCACTACTCATGTAAATTTCACAGAGTTATGATGTTTATAAAGAACACTAATATGCATATGCAATCTACTTATGTACAATCTGGAGTCTTTGAGACATTGTAACTTGCATAAACTCTTCCTGTTAGTTTAATTCTTCCTTGGGACCAATTACATATATCTACATATTAATATTTTCCTCTTTCAAACAAGATTTTGTTGATATGAAGAAATACTTTTCTTAATTATTGTGAAGATTAGGATGAGATTTTGAGCCCTTGAGAGCCTCTGTAATTTTGACTTATTCCATCATGCCACTTGGTGCAATGTTTTGGTTCATTTGTTTTATATGGGGCTCTTCTTAGGTTCAAAGTCAACCACTCTCACTGCTCTCCACAAGCTGTGACTGTTTCTACCCTATGTTCCAACACACTGCACATAGACACAGGAGGGGTGCTACTTCTCTTGGTTAGCAGTTCGAGTTTCTTGATGTACAGACTGGAGCATGAAGCAGGTGCAAAGGTAATAAACCAGAAAAAGTACAATCAGTAGTGCATTCATTGATTTCTACCTCTATTATGTATGTCTTGATATTATTCATAGTAAAACAGTTGAGTATAGTAACAGAACAAGACATGATCATTTTGAGTAAAAATAAGAAAAAATGACAAGTAAATGAACATATTTACATTCCTGAACATTTTTTTCTTGATTTTTCTTGTTCAGATCAATGACGGGGAATTATAGTTGAAACATGACACATTGTAGCTCTTTTTGCCACATAATAAATACCCTTCATAAATGTGAAGGGTTTTTTATCTCTCTCTACATATGCATATATATATTACTAGAAAATTATAATGTACATTATATTATATTTATATTATGTCATGTTATATATAATATATAATAACTATATATAATTATAGTAGTGCATATTATTTTATGGTTTAACTAAGTACAGATCTCAAAACTTACTATAGACACTGAATTGTGTAGTGATACTATATTATTCATTTTTTCTTGAATAAAGAAAAGTACTTATGGGCTGGGAAGGTGGCTCAGTGGTAGAGTGCTTGCCTTGCATGCATTAGGCCCTGGGTTCAATTCCTCAGCACCACATAAGCAGAAAAAATAAAAAAGCCGGAAGTAGCACTGTGGCTCAAGTGCTAGAGCACTATCCTTGAGTTGAAGAGCTCAGGGACAGCACCAAGGCCCAGAGTTCAGGCACCACGACTGGACCCCCCCCCAAAAAGAAAAGTACTTATTAGTTCAATCACATAGAGTGACTTAAGACCCAGCACTTTCTATGACAAGTAAGTGCTAATACAAGGAAAGTGAATGCAATGTGATGAAAGTAAGATTGAGGGCACAATTTGACTTAGGCATTATATATATATTTATATACACATTGGGCACTATATATAATATATACTGTAGACAGTATATAAGTATATATTATGTAGCATGTGTAATATATGCTATATATTATCAGTTTATATTACACTTTATATGTTATATACAGTATATATAGCATATATCACACAGTATATACTATATACAATATATTATATACATATAGAGTATATTATATAATATATATACATATAGGGTATTTTATATAATATATACAGTATACAATATATAGCATATATTATACATGTTATATAATATATAATTTTATAGAATAGTATATGATAGCATATATTATTAATTTATATATTACACTCTAGATAGTAAATTGTATATACTCTATGTAGTATACATAGTATAATGTATATAGTACACATAATATATACTATATATAGCACATAAAGTATATACCGTATGTATACTATATATAATGCATGCAGTGTACACAGTATATACTATATAGTATATCGTATGTACAGTGAGTACTGTATATAGTATATATATATATACTATATAGAATGCATAGTATGCAATATATATAATATATGAATATAAAGTATATATTATATGTTCCTATATATTTATATACATGCTTAAAATGTCACAATAAACCCCTCCTTGTATAACTAATATATGCTAATAAAATGTTTTAATAAATGAAAATCAGATGTATCCTTTTATAGCTGTCTGATTGATACATACTAATAAGGAGACATGCAACTGTGGTAAAGTGGCAGATGAATTTCCAGTGTGATATAAAGAGAGCATGTGGTCACAGACATTCCATCATTCTGAAACTCTCAAAAAACGATTTACAGAGATATAAAAATAAAACTATGATCACATCATTATTTTATTCTTGCAAAACACATTGAATATGTTTTATACAGATATTTCCATATAATGTAATGCATCAGTTGTTAAAATACATGAGTAAATATTAAGGCGATGTTTCAGAGATCAGAATTTAAGCTCAAACATGTAATATGATATTGTATAATGATCCACAATATAAAGGAAAAACATAGGGGCAATAGTCATAATGATAGCCCAATGTTCACTGCACGGTGCTTCTATCTGAAAACGTCTCTTAAAATATTTTCCCATCACAGTGAGGTGTCAGGTAAAATATTTCCTTTATGTAAAGCCTCTTCATTATCATGAAGACATTACAATGAAATATGATTGAAGAATAGGTTGCAGTGACACATGTGTAAGACAGAACTTACATTGTGTTTTATTGGAGATAAGATAACAAGGACAAAGGAGGGGGTAACAACGCTCAAGAGGAATGTACTCGTTATCTTCCTCATGTAACTGTAACCCTTCTGTACAGTATTTTTAAAATGAAAATATTAAAAAAGATATCAAGGACTTCAGCATGTTCTCAAGTGCAGGTGCAAAATTACTAC